CGACGGGGGGGGTCTAATTTTAACCTGCCTCGTTGCTTCCCTCGCTTCCGGCATCGCTCTGCCGCAGAGCCAGGTTGCTGGCACCTGACTGGGCGGGCGGGCGGGCGGGCACGCACACACACACACACACACACACCCCCTCTCCTGGCACTTGCAGGAGCAGGGCCCTTGCGCACGTCTCTGCCCTGCCTGCCCGCAGATGCCAGGAGCCTGTGCAGAGCCCGGGGCTGGGGGCAGGCATGCCTGTGTTTGGGAGGAGACCCAGCGCGCCACGCCGAGCTGCATGCAGACTGGGCAGGGAGGAGGCGGGGGGTCTCCAGTGGTACGGCCCCGTTCTGAGGAGCACGCACAGTGTCGTACTCACGCTGCATGGGGCCTGACGGGCACCACACTGACACCAGGGAGCCCACAGACTCGGGAGCTGCTCCCATTTACCCTGGGAGAGCAGAATCTGAGCCGTTCACTTGGCAAGCGGATTCATTCTGGGGCTTGTCCGGTGACCCGCCTTTGCACAGAAATCCAGCCAGCTTGTCTGGCGTGCCCTTCCACACGCAGGGTAGTCGACTATTCTGTAGTCCCCGGGGGCGGGGCCGGCAGCCAGTGCGTTCTGGCCCCAGGAGCCCCCGTCACGCCGCGCTGCTGCTTCTGTATCAGAGGAGCTTGAAACCAGCTCCCCTTGCGGACTGGCTGCCTATTGCCCCACGCTGCTGCCTAGGAGACAGAGACAGCAGCGCGGGGCGGCAGCAGCCCCTGACAAGAGGGGATCTGAGCTCCGGGACGGGACGTGAGCCGGAACTGAGCTGGGCAGCCTGCCCGCCCGGCTCCTAATACCCTTTAAATGCAGAGCTGCAGCGGGGCAGGTCCTGGACCGAGCCAGGACTGAGCGGGCTGCTGGCCAGCCTGTTAAAACACGCACTGGCCGGGGGGCGGGGGAAGCTTTTGCCTCTCGGTTCCTTTACCCAACTGCACCCTAATCCAAGCGAGCGGCAGGACGAGCGGCGGGACACACGCTCACGCCTACCCGGCGCACGTCTGACCCTTTCCCACCCCCCACGAATAACCTGCCCCGCAGCACGGGACAGTCACAGCGAGGAGCGCGGACTCAGCCATAGCAGCGGGGAAGGGCAGCCTGGCACGTCTGGCCAAGAAGGGCTCATCCACCCTCGAGTGCCGACCAGACGGTCCAGTCCCATGAATTCATGGCGTGCTCGGGGGGTATCTGTGTATCGCCTCGCAGCTCTGGGATCTGTGGGGAGGGAGCAGCCGGCAGGGGGTAGATTCTACAGGGGGCTACAGGCGGGGGGCGGGGGGGTCTCTCGAACAGGTTTCCACAAACAAGGCAAGTGTGCAGCTGGCTAATGTTGTTATGGTAACAGCATTAGGCTTGAACATACCCTTCTCAGGAAGAACGTCCTCATTAGCGGTAACCCTAATACCTTTCCCATCATGCACTGAGTCGTGAATGCAGAAGGCAAGAGGAGGCAGGACAGAGAGAGAAGAGTGCGAATTACAATCCAATTAGCAGCGACAGGCAAACAACTGGTGCAAGTCACACGCTCTAGCGCCTGCTCGAGTGAACCCCCTGCCGTCGGCAGCGCCCGCAGCACGTCGGAAGCGGCGTCTCGACAGGCGAGGGGCTGGGGCCTGCTGCCGGCGCAGGGATGCAGAGAGCTCTGACCCGCGGAAGCCAAACAGCTCTGAGCTCAGGCTCGGCAGTCCGAGGACAGGCGAGTGCTGCTGATGTGCAACGGGGCTGGCTGACCCCACACACGCTACACTCGGTGGGTTTTTAGCCATTTCCACCCACCAGCCTACAGGAGGCCGGACGAACAGAAGGGAAACGCCAGCCGGAGAGAATCCTGACAGGCAGAAATCGGCCCCAAACTCTCCCTCTGCCCCCTCGACACACGCCCGGAGTATTCCGCAGTGCGGGGCTGCTGAAACACGACAGTAAGGGCGGGGCCTGGAACCGAGCTGCAGCTCACAGCTTCCTCCATGCTCCTAGGTAAAAACGGTCAGCGGAAGGCATGGTCCAAACGCCCAGCAGGGATGTGCCAGTCCCACTGGCTGGGAACGGCGCCCCACAGAGCTGCAATCGCCCCCAAAGTTTCTTCCCAGCCCCCCAGTGGTGCGCTCAGCTGGAGCCCTCCAACGCCCTTTTAAAGACATGTCCCTCCCCCAGCCTCCTCCTCAAATCCTGCTACTCCACCCACACACCCACACACCCACCCCCTCTAGCCCCCTTTTTGTTCAAATCCAGCTACTCCAGGTGGGGCAAACGCTTGGGCCTGAAGGACACGTCTGGGCATGGCAATGGTGTGGAGGCCCACAACAGAACTGGGGTCTACGGTGCGGGGGGAGGG